GACGTTTTCATCCGAATTTTATGAGATTTTCACATATTCAAATCTGTTTTGGTATATTCTGAATTTGAAAGTGTTGGTATATATGAGTGTCGACTTGCCTAGTATCATAATAGGCGCCATCACGACAAGTTGAGTTTTGGGTCGTGATAGACTTTGTGTGCTAAGTACTATTCAAAGGCTATCCAAAAGGTGAAAGAACAGCCTGAAAATCTGCTATAGCAGAAGCAAGGAGAAAAATATCATTTCAGCCACCATTCTAGTAAAAAGTAGGCTACTAGTACCCTATTTTATGATAAAATTATCTAAACTTCAGATTTTAATAACATTAATATCACCCTATTGATTTTGAACTAAATCAAACTCAAACAACTAAGAATTGACAAAACAGAAACAAGGCTTTAAATGGAACTAAAACTTAAACTAACATAGAACAAACAACTGAATTCACAAGCTAACGCTCAAAACAAAAATTAGACGAGCAACGTTAACAATCAGATGACGATGTTCAACAACTAAACAATCGACTAACTAAGTAAACGATTTGACGATACTAAGATTAGTTTGGTCGATGACAATCTAATAAACAACTAGGCTAAATAGAGATGACTAATCTAAATAAACCTAACTTGAGACTCTAGTTAACAAACAACAAACCAAAAATAGAAAAATCAGAAATTAACCTACTTATATAAAAAAAAAATCAGAAATTAAGTGAAGTGATGATGATTATACCTAACAAGCGTGTTTGAAACTGTTCGAGCCACGAGAAGACGCAAGAGATGCCAAGAGGCGGTTGACCGACTCCAAAATGCATGTTTCTCAGATGCTAAAACGAAAGGGTTTCAACGTCTTGCCAAAAAGAAACGAAGGTCTTTGAGTCGATAATAGCAAAAACAGAGGTTTGGGGCATTTGGTGGTTGGCGGACGACAGTAGAGGTGAAGGTCAGCGGCGGTGAGACTTTTAAGGATTTGAGTTGGAGATATGGAGAGAGTAGGAGAAGAAGAGGAGGTGGTGCGATTTTGGTGGGGATTGGAGGCGGTGAACGGTGGCGGGTGGTGGCTAGTTTTACGGTTTAAACTTAGATTTGGTGAGATTGAGAGAGATTTAAGGGATTTGAGTGGGATAGAAAAAAGAGGAGGAAGAGGGGAGGAGATGGTGAAATTTTGGGGTTGATTGGAGGTGCGCCACCGCTGTAAGGCGATTTTCGGTCGGCGGCGCTAGGGTTCAAGGGGCGGCGACAGAAGGGAGAAGAGAAAGTGAAGAGAGAGGAAGAAAGAAAGAGATGAAGGGGGAAAATGGGGGCAATTTTCGATTTCATTAGGCTTTAAATAGCCTAAATGAAGATTAAATTAGGACCGTTGGATCAAGTCAAGATGTGTGGCTAAGATTAAATCTCAGCCACTTAACCAAAATGACGCCGTTTTGGCGCGTCTGGTTGGGGTCTTGAGCTGGGCAGTTTAAATGCAATTGGGCCGCAAATTTGGTCCATGTTTTGTGCCAATTGTGCTTTAAATAGACAAAACCAATCCCTATTAACCTCATTAACAAACTATTTAATATAATCTAATTCTAAAACCTATACATAATAAACCTAAAAGAAAAAAAATACATAGTAGAAGAAAAGAAATTAAAAAGTAAAAATTAGGCATTTACAAATCTAACTACTATGTTTTACTTTAACTTTTATGGAAAATCTAAAGAAGGAATGATAGTATGATACTATGGAGTCTCTACCGATTAAAAATTCGTATATATACTACTGGTTAACAATATATATGTGTTACGACTTTCTAGTTTCTTGTTGAAGTTCTAGATGGAATTACTTCTATTTTCTCTGACAAGTCGTTTTGCTTCTTTAGATCACTCAAATTCATAAGCTATTCAAAGTCAAGTGAAGATTAAACAGGAAATAAATTGGGCTAATAAAAACGTATTCCTTCTTCCCAATCTCTCATCTAACGTGACCAAGAAAAGCTGGAGAGTGAAGATTCTTTCACAACCTAACAAGTAATCAGGTATGATATCTAGTTCATCCCTACCATATTGTTCATAAATTAACTCCAAAATATTTTAGAAATTCATTGATAATGGTGGGGAAAAAAAATAATAATTACGAATTTAATTTCATAAGGAATTAGAGTGGAGCTTGATTATTACTGGAGAAGATCATCAAAAATAGTCATTAAGTGAAATTGTCGAAAGGCCTAGCTCGGCGAAGGATTGATTCGTAGGTGGACTTTTTAAATGGATACTTGCTCTTCTTTAATTTGTTTATTAATTCATGGAGTCAGTTAATATTATCTTCATTGTCCTTTAGCTTTGGGTGAATTTGTACATAGCTTAGCAAAAAGTTAAGTTGGAAAAACATATATATATATATATATATATATATATATATATATATATATGCCAAGTTTGAGAATTGGGAAAAGGATAAGAACTATTAAAATAATAGAGATAACCTTTCCCTCTAGTAGTTACATAAAACTTTCAAGTATGCCAGAGAATCGGATTCGGAGAACTCATAAATTAGAGGACTTCAGCAATATTCTTAAGTGAGTAAATTTATAGTCTTTGGACTTGTATTGATATAAATTTAACCCGGATATCATATGTAGACTGAAAACTGTGAATCTGAATTGCTTGGAGGATTCGTAAAGTCGAAGTTGAGCTAGTAATTTTGAGGTAAGTTGAGGCTTATTCTCCTAGTAAGAAATTCTATTAGAATCATCGTACTTCTTCAGATAAATCAAATTTATAACTTCTTATGCTTCAATGCTCAGTTTATTTTATTCTTATTCTGTACAACTTAATAGGTGACAAAATTGCATGCCTACGTATATTACCATTGTTATATGCATTTGCTGGTGATATTTACGTTCAGTTCAGTATTCAGTTCAACATTCATTCATGCATTAATGTGATCACATTTAGTAGGGAGAAATGGCCAACCTCCCCCAGTGTGAGTGCCATGATGCCAGGGTTAGCCACCCCACGCTCGTAGGTGCCAAATTATTTGTTGGGGAGATAGGCCGACACTCCCCCGTGCGTGTTCCCAGATGCTCACGTACGTAGGGCCACTATGCGTAATGACTTTCCAAAAAGTCTATCTATATATATATATATTTTATTTCATATATCACTTATATACTTAGTTTCTATATTAAGTTTCAATTTTAGCTTACAGTTGAACTTATACCTTCAGTTTCTAGCTCATTACTTGTTTGTGAAATTTATATGATTTATATGTTTCCTGTGTATCCGTTTCCTTTCATATTTTTCTCAGAAGGTCTCGCTCCGCCTTTTTAGGAGGTAGCTTATGAGACTTACTGAGTATCCTTTGGTAGTACTTAGCCCGTTTGGACGTGCTACGTTGTGTGACAGGTATTGAGGACGCTGATAACGGGGCAAGTGGCTAGAGAAAATATTCTAGATTCAATTACAGACTCCGTTGATTCATCCCAGCGGCAGTGTTTTAAAAGGCGTGGGCGTAAGGGGAGGGGGAAGGGGCGTAAGCCCCATGGATCTTTAAAAATTTTAATTTATAAATTAATAAAATAACATAATAACACAAAAAAATATAAAATATAAATTAAAAGTTAAAAATTAAAATAAAATTAAAAGAACTCATAGAAAAAAAATATCTAGCATGATTCTTAAGTATAACTAATGCATACAAATCGCGTATAACATCTTTAACTTTCAAATAATTAAAAACTTACAATTTCTTTAGAAAAATGATCAAACTCCACATTTTACCTTCCTAAAAGTAAATAATTAATAAAATCTTATTAGTACGATAATTAAAATATTACTCCTTCATGAATAAATGCAAATTAGTTTAAGATATCAAATTAATAAAAGTGTATAATAAGGAGGGACAAATGAACTAAGACACGATCAATAACAAATGAAGATATAAATTTGCAATACTATGTCTCATTATTAGAGTTATGCTCAATCTTCATATTTCTATCGATGAATACAACTTTTATCATTAATTTGTTAAAGAATTTTGAAGGTCAACGATATTAATTAAGAAATTCGACACGTGATTTGTGTTAGAACTGTTAGGCGAGCCCCGAGCGTTGGGCGTTAGGCGTATTTAGGGCAAACGGTCGGGCTCTTGAGGCGTAAGCCTCGCAGAACTAAGCCCCATACATGAGCCCCATGGCGTTTTGTAAGTGCCCCGCCTAGGGACGAGCCCCGGGCGAGTCCCAGAAATACCTTTTAATACACTGCCCAGCGGTAGCGGACGTTTCTCAGACTCTTATTTATTTTTAAACATTTATACTATTTTCGGGGAATGCCCTGTAGGCTATGTATTTCAGTTATTTTATCAGATTCTAGAGGCTCATGATTTACTAGTGGGTCAGTATTAAAATTTTGAGATTTATTGTTCACTTATCATTTTGTCCAACAGTTTTAGAATTGCAACTTGCTAGAACTATCATTTAAGCATATTACTTTATTGGTCATTGAATTGGAAGTTATGTCACAACTAGCAAAGGGTTCGCTCAATGAATGGTAAGGATTGAGCGCCAAGCATGTCCCACCCAGTTTTGGGAGCGTGACAAGGTCACAATTGACAACACAATTTTATTAGGAAATCATGGTTATTCTTAACCTTTTATTGTAACTTGTTTAAATTTTAAGTCAATTATGACATATGTTGTGCGTATTCTCCAAAATAGCTGGTGCAACCGTGTCAAATTCTTCAAAAAAAATTACTACTTTTGAAGAATCAACACGCTTACCGACATTTTTCAGATCCATTGTTCTAGAAGGCCTTTAGATTATTCATTGGAAGAAGTTATGAGTTAACACCTACCTCTATATGTGAAAGGTGATTCACTTCAAACGGGGAGCCACAAAAAGTCTCACAATTGACATATTCAAGAACCACAAAATAAAGCTTTGTCCTTGTTTCTAGCACTTGCCTATTCTCACCCCCTTAATTCCTAGCTACCACATCTATAAATTTCTCAAGCATTTACTTCCCTCTCAATTCATTAAAAATAAAAAATTAAAAGAGTTTATCTTTCTCAAAGAACAACTCATTTTCCTCATCTCTTTCTTCCTAAAGCCAAGGGAGAAGGAGAGCAAATCCAACTTTGTGCAGCATACTATTTGATTGATATAATCTTTTTAAATTGGCTTTCACGTGGATTTTCCATTCAAAAAATATGACAAGAGAAACTAGAAATGTGCGTTCTTGGATGGAGGTTGCTCCTGTACTTATAACCAGCTATCGACGAAAACCTTCAAATACACCAGGATTGGAGACCATTAGAGAAGAGATCAACGAGGGTTGCGACGATGATACACAACAACGACGCAATCATGGAATATGATTCGAAATTATGGCTTCTACTTAGTGTTTTTCTCTTTGAGAGGTTGAAATTTTATCCCTCCATTTGCAGATTCAGGCTTCAACTTTATTTGTGTGGATATCCAGCCAGAGGGATAGCTGCATAAGCTGAATTATATGCCATTTAATCCATTCAAGTACATTTTCTTATTTTAAAAAAAATAGTTTTTCTTTCATTTACATGCAGTGAACCATTATTGCTTAAGAATATTAACAACACGCATTTGATGGTATTTGAAGTAATTTCTCTTAGATTCCGTTGGATGGTTTAGTGATGTAGCTGGTCAAGTTAAATTATGAGGGAAAAAAAATTATACTATAAACGGATGAACGTAATTCTTATAATTAATTTTTCCTCATATCTAAATAATACAAAGCTACGCACGTTCAAAATGATAAGCTGCCTTCGTATAGGAGTACATTTAAAACAGAATTACAAATTTTAAAAATTTTCACTTTTTTTTAAACTTTATACTCAGTTAAATAGGTTCACATGAATATCAAACCCTTAAAAAATTTCTTGAAAAAACTCATTAAACCTTACTTATGTGACAAAAGCACATAATACAAGACATATTTCTTGTATTAATTAAAATTAATTGGCATGATGTAGACAATGCTATAAAGATCTTTTTCAAAATAATATGCAAAGCCGTGTGAGCATTTCCCACATGTTGCTCGTCTTTACTCCGAAATTAGGTTAGATCCAACAATTATCGAAAAAGACAAATAATTCAAATTCAGGTATGTTTCCTCTGTCTTTCGACCGACACCTCACCAAAATTGTCAGTTTCTTCTATATATAAGTCCCTCACACTCTGCAGTCTTTCCCAAATCCCACAAATCTTCTCAAAATAGCCAAGATTGAACAGTGAACCTCTTTAGAATTTGTTTTCATAGCCTCATTCTTGTTGTTTTGTTTTTGCAAAAATGGCCAAGTTAAGTGGGAACCAAAAATCTTGGATGGAAGTTGCTGTTCCAGCGGTTCTAATTTCACCCTATAGGATTTCAGTTTCTCCCCAGCTAGAAACAATATTTGAAGAAGAGGATTTTGAGGATTCTGCTTTGTATGAGCTTTCTTCTGGGACAGAGAATTGTGTTGTGTTTCCCAAAGTTTTGAGTTTTCTGAAGTTGAAATAATTAGCATAGTAATATCTTATGTAACTTTTTGTTCACCCCTTTTCTTTTTTTACTTAAAAAGGGTGATGAAGGTTCTCTATCTTTTTCTTTCACCTCCAATCAAGTTCTAAGGGTCTGATTTTATGTTAAAATGTGCCGTTGTGTGTGATACTTTGTGTTCGATTTCAGCAGAGAAAATCGTCAAAATGGTATGGCCGTTGTGTGTGATACTTTGGTACGTGGACTAGATTATTCCTTAATTATAATCCTAAGATTATAATTTCGGGATTATAATTTTTGGACTAATTTATTTCATCTGTGATGTGGTATAAATTAATCCCTAGTTCGATGAGATAAGGTGGGATAAGATGAGATATTCAGTATTAAGTCTGAGATTAAATTTATATCATGTTTGGTTGAAGGTATAAATTTATACTGCCAACCAAATAATAAAATTTAATCTCATACCTTATCCCACCTTATCCCGCGTACCAAACGACCCCTCTTGGTTTGTGATACTGAGATAAGTTTAAAAATCAGCTTATAAGTATTTTTTGACTAATTTACACGCTTAAAAAATAACAAAAGTTTTTATAAGTTAGATTCAGCAACAAATTATAAGTTGGATCACCCTGGTTTTCCAATTTATAAATATTTGATGTTTAATATTATTTAAATCTAATATATTTTTAACCTCCCAAATAAGTTTTACACAATAAATCCTATAACTCCTCCTCCATTCCATTTGTGTGCATTTGCTTCTCCCTATAAAGATACTTTTTATGTTATACTTTCGCAAATAGCTAGCTCAAAAACATTTTAATCGATTTAGCAGAAAATATACGAAGACGATAACAACATACTCATTTTTATCCCGCACCGTGGGGTCTGAGAAGAATAGTGTGTACGCAAACCTTACCCCTATCTTGTGAGGATAGAGAGGTTGTTTTCAATAGACTCTCGGCTCAGGAAAGTATAAGCATCACATTAATGAAAATATAGACAAAAGGGACAATACCAAAAAGCCATATAAAAGCAGAATAAAAACAACAAGATAGTAAGATAATCAACAATGAAAGAAAATAACGGGTTGTCATAAAAAACTACTACCCACAGAAAGCGAGACTGCGTGCCAATACTACTGTTATGAACACTCTAGACTACCTACTCTACTACGATAATCCTCGACCTCCATACTTTCCTACCAAGGGTCATGTCCTCGGTCAGCTGAAGTTGGGCCATGTCTTGCCTAATCATCTCTCCCCACCTCTTCTTTGGCCTACCTCTACCTCTCTGCAGGCCCTCCAATGTTAACCTCTCACGCCTCTTCATCGGGGCATCTGTGCTCCTCCTTCTCACATGTCCAAACCACCTACGTTGTGCTTCCCGCATTTTGTCTTCAATAGGGACCACACCCACTTTGTCGCGAATAACCTCATTTATGATCCTATCTAACCTGGTGTGCCCGCACATCTATCTCAACATCCTCATCTCTGCTACCTTCATCTTCTGGATATGAGCGATCTTAACTGGCCGACAATCAGTCCCATACAATATCGTTGGTCTGACCACCACTCTGTAGAACTTACCCTTAAGTTTCGGTGGCACCTTCCTGTCACACAAAACACTAGAAGCGAGTCTCCATTTCATCCATCCCGCCCCAATACGATGTGTGACATCTTCATCAATCTCCCCATCTCCAAGAATAATAGACTCAAGGTACTTAAAACTCCCTTTCATAGGGATGACCTGCGAGTCCAACCTCACCTCCCCCCCTCCCCCCGAGTCTCGCCACTGAACTTACACTCCAAGTATTCTGTCATGGTCCTGCTTAACTTGAAACCTTTAGATTCCAGGGTCTGCCTCCATACCTCTAATTGCGTATTCACACCGTCTTATATCTCTTCAATTAATACAATATTATCTGCAAATAGCATGCACCATGATACCTCCCCTTGAATGTGGCGCGTTAGTACGTCCATCACCAGAGCAAACAAAAAAGGGCTGAGTGCTGACCCCTGATGCAACCCCATCATAACCGAAAAATTATTCGAGTCCCCACTCACCGTCCTCACTCGGGTATTTACTCCATCATACATGTCCTTAATCAACCTAACGTAGGCAACATGTATACATGTATCCTCCAAACATTTTCACAAAACCTCTCTCGAAAGTTTATTGTACGCCTTTTCTACGTCTATGAGCACCATATGCAAGTCCTTCTTTCTCTTTCTATACTGGTACATCAATCTCCTAATAAGGTGGATGGTTTCTGTAGTCGAACGCCTCGTCATAAACTCAAACTGGTTTTCGAAAATAGACACCCTCCTCCTCACCCTTAGCTCTACCACTCTCTCCTAGATTTTCATAGTATGGCTAAGCAGCTTGATACCTCGATAGTTATTGCAATTTTTGATATCATCCTTGTTCTTGTATACAGGAACCATCGTGCTCCACCTCCACTCTTCGAGCATTTTCTTCATTCTAAAAATGACATTAAATAACCCAATAAGCTGCTCCAAGCATGCCTTACTCGCACTCTTCCAAAACTCCATCGGGATTTCATTCGGCCCGGTCGCTTTGCCCCTACTCATCTTACGCATAGCCCCATCAACTTCATCAATTCTAATATGTCTACAATACCCAAAGTCATAACGACTCTCGGAGAGTTTCAAATCACCTAGTACAATACTCTTGTCCCTCTCATCGTTCAAGAGATTATGGAAGTAGGTCTGCCATCTCCGACGGATAAACCTCTCATCTAACAAAACTCTACCTTCTTTTATATTATACATGAAAATATACGAAAAATTAACCCAAATAGCCCGCCCATTAATCTTTTAAACTAAAATAGCCGACGAATGTATAATACATGTATAATATATGTATAACTATATATAATTAGTATAAAATCTATGTATACCAGCTAGAAAAAATAAAGATTAAGAGGGTATTTGGCTAAGTTTATAAGCTGGTCAAACTAGCTTATAAGCACTTTTCGGCCTATCTACGCGTTTGGTAAAGTTAAAAGTGCTTATAAGCTAAGTGATTATAAGCCAAAAATAAGCCAAAAGCCATAAGCTGGTCACCTCCAGCTTGTGAATTTTTAGCTTATAAGCACTTTAAGTTTGACCAAGATTTTTACTATTTTATCCCTAAAATATTCCTTTTCAAACCAAAACTCCTACATCGATACTTACTGCCTCACGTGTTTTTTCAATCTAAACCCCACGTCTCTTCAAGTCTGCAATTCTTATTGACTATTTGAGGTAAGCAAATTCTCTATTCCTTTACATATTTATATCTATGTAATTTTGTATTAATCTTTGAATTGTATGTAATAAATGAGGACATATCAAATTTTTGGTGTATTTGTTTCAAAGTGTTGTGGTGATGAAGATAGTGTTTCTCTTCAAATATATTATCCTATTTAGGTTTTTTTTTACTGAGAAACTTTTGTCAATTTATTAATTATTATAACTTATGATTATATGCTTATCATAAAATAAATATCATAAAAATTATCTTATTTAATTACAGTTATATTTAAAATAAAATGATAAATAAAATATTTTGTATTTGAATCGATCTAGAATCTAAAATTTTGAAGAAATTACGCTCTTATAAGTGTAAACAGTTCTAAGGTTATTCAAGTTATTTTAACAGACAAAAGAGCTTATCAGCACTTTTTTATCAAATACTGCAGCAGTCTATTATTAATTTTTGTACTTGTATCCAAACATGTAACTGTTTATTTATTAAATCAATTTCAGCACATAAAAATGCTTTTCATTACCTAATGCTTATCAGCTACCTTGAATCAGCTAATCCAAACGGGCTCTAAATCTAGCCGGCTATTTGTGTAGCAATCCCAAAATATATTTACTACAATTAAATTTTCTGTTAACCATATCAACTACTTACTTATTATTGGTTTATGTACTTTTTTTCAAATACTATTTATTTATAAAATCAGTTTTAACACCTAATATTTATCGGACTTTGATTAGCTAACTCAGATATGCTCTCAGTTACTTTGAATAGTGATAAGTTTGGCAGCTATAAGTGCTAAATGCGGACCAAAGTTTTAATTATTGTTTCTATTAATCTCTGCCAACTTTAGAGCTTACCCTTAGTACTTTTGTTAAACTATCACAATTTCCATATAGGTAAGGCAACCTAAAGAAAATAAATAAAACAATCCATTCTTGTTGCAAAGACAATTTTGTCCATCATAGACAAGTTGCAAAAGAACAAAATAAAATAAGTTGATCGAGAGAGTTGGCGTCGCCGGAATGGGGGTTTTATATGAACAGAGTAATAATATGTTCTAACCAATTAAGGTATACACTAGTAGTCTTAAATTTACACTTTCAAAATATATATAACTTAAATCCTATAAATAAATGAGTTTAACTTTTAAAACTAAAAGCATAAAAGGAATAATGCACCATCATATTACCTAAAACACAACTACATATAATCATTCCTAAAAATGAGACTAGAAACTTTGAAAATAAGGTTAGTTAATTGTTACAATAGGTTAAAATATATAAATAATATTAAGAAAATAATAAATTAAATAATGGGCTTATAGAAGACAAGTACAAAAACAAAAATCTAAAAGGTGTGCGCATTTCTCACATGTTACATGTCTTAACCCCAAAATTAGGTACAACCAATCAATCATAGAAAAAGACAGATTCAAATTCAGGTGATATTTCCACTGTCTTTCTACAGTGTACACTTCACCCCAAAATCCAAATCCTTTATTTTTCCTCACTTCACCTTTATATAATCCCTCACACTCTGCAGTCTTCTCTCAAATCCCACACGCGCGTGCGCGCACACACAAAAAAAAAACTCTAACTAGTCAAGACTAAGGAGTGAAGATATATCTCATTCTCCTATAAATTCTAAATAAGTTGCAAATTCAGTTTGAAAGCTTCATTCTTGCAATTTAATTAAAGATATCTCTAAGAATCATACCTATTCACTTAAACAGAAGGTTAACTTTAGAATAAAACAAAAGCTTATTTATCTCAAATAGCCGTATAACACAAATTTGAATATCTTCAAAACCGTAAGTGAAGCAAAAAATAATTGAGACACAAGAAGCAAAGGCTGGGATAATTTCAAGTGCTAATAATTA